GAGTGTTTCACCTCTGGTCACGGTGCATGTTCGGCTTGCGGGCCGCTGCGGTTTCGAGGGGCGGGGAGCAGCAGTTCGGCGTACAGGCTCCAGGCCGTGGCGCCCCACCTGCCTTCCCCGCTGCCGAGGCTCGCGCGTGGCACCCTGCGACTCCCGCCTCCCTGCGGCTCACGGTGTGGCCTTCCCTCAGCTCCCTGCTCTCGCGGCTGGTGCCGTTGCGGGGCGAGAGCGGCGGGGGAGGAGGGGACGACGAGGGCAGAGACGCGCGCAGGCCCTTGATACTGCTCTGCAGCTTCGCGCGGCAGGCATGCACAAAGAGAGAAACCTTCCCCTTCCCCAGCTCCCTCCATCCCTCCGCCAGGCAGCGGGGCAGCCGCCTCTTGAAGCATCCCCAGCCCGCCGACGGCCAGCTGCGAGACCGACGGGAACCTCCGCGCCCGCGCAGCATGCTTTTGCTGTCCGCGCAGGCAGGCAGCCCGTCCAGCGCGTGCGGAGGCTGGACGGGAGAAGCTGCAGGGAAAGCCGCTCGTGCGCGGACTGGCGTGGCGCGCGAACCGCCAGCACTCCTCGCACTCGCTCCAGGTTGCCACGGTCCGTCAGCACCCCACCCCGACCCAACCCGAAGGCTGCAATCTGGCCTCCATCTCCACGGTGGGGGGGGGGGTCGGGGAACACTGACAAGTCACACGTGGAGGCCGCAATGACCCCCCCGACCCCGAAATTCGGGTCTTCGGGGTGGGTTGGGGTGGTCTGGTAGGTGCACGGTCAGCCTCAAGGGTTCGCTGCCGTTGGCCGCTGGCCTTGCCATGCCGGGCCCATCGCCTGGGCCCTCCAGCGGCCGTGCGGGACGATCCGGGCACCATTGGAGGAACGCTCTCGGCGAGGCGCAGCTGCCAGGGGGCATCCCGAGGCTGGGGAGCTGCCGGGAGCCAAGGCAAACGCGAACCTCGAGCCTCGAGCCTCGATCCCTTGCACTCGAGCCCCCCCTGAGCCGCTCCTCCCCCCCCCTGCTCACCGTGCAACACCCTGGGCTGGTGCGACGGCCGTCGCCGCACCTTGGGCCCCTCTCCTCCTCGCGCCCCTGCGGCGCGTGGGCTGCGCACGCGCGCCACGCTGTTCCCAGGCCTCCTGTGCTGCCAGGTCCTCGCTTTGACTCCACAGCGCCGCGCCCCACCTCTTCACTACTCCTCCAGCCAATCCTCCTCCTCCTCCTCCTCCTCCTCCTCCTCCTCCGCCCTGGCAGGTGCGGGCCGCGTCATGGTGCGTACTGCAGCGACTCGCCTCGCCTCCGCGATGGGGGCGAGTAGCCCAGGGGATGGCGTTACCTCCTCCCCCTCCTCCTCCTCCTCCTCCTCCTGCTCCCCCTGCTCCTGCTCCTCCTCCTCCTCTTCCTCCTCCTCCTCCTCCTCCTCCTCATTACCCTTCTCCTCCTCATCATCATCACTATCCTCCTCCTCCTCCTCCTCCTCCTCATCATCATCATCATCATCATCATCATCATCATCGTCATCATCATGATCAGCATCATCATCATCACAATCATCACCACCATCATCATCATCATCATCGTCATCATCATCATCATCATCACCATCGTCATCACCATCATCACCATCATCATCATCAGCATCGTCGTCATCATCATCAACAATATTATCATCATAATCACCATCATCATCAGCATCAACAGCATCATCATGATCATAATCGTCATCATCATCATCATCATCATCATCATCAGCAGTATCGCCACCATCATCACCACAAGCGTATCGTATGTCAGACTACTTGCCCAAATCAAGATCATGCTACACGACATTTACGACGTTCATGGATTGCTGGTAGGTCTATAGCGGAGCTCACATATCATGTATAGCCATGGCACCAGGCTGCATGTGCACTACTGTGCCCCCTTCGTGAATATGAGCTCGATTCCGCCTGTCAACACGAATTTAATGTTTATTCTAAGTATCGAGCCCATCTTCTCTCGCATCTTCCGCCGTCGCCATCGGGGCCGATACTCAAGCCGACTATCAGGACCGAGGCCCGCCCGACCCAGCACAGCTTCGAGCAGCCGCCTCGCTCAGACCTGCGCCTCGGCCACCTCGCGTGATCGAGGACACCCCAGCAGCCAGAGCAGCCCTCCGCCGAGCAGCGGACCTCATTCTGGGCACGCGCGAAGCTCTTCCACATCGGCCACGCGTCGCTCGACCGCCACGTCGGACAGCAGCGCCTCCGACAGCGACTCCAACAGCGGCTCCATTCGCCACCGCAGCGTCGACGCCCACACTGCCAGTACTACGCCGTGAGCACGGTGACGGCAGCAGCAGCGCTACCAGGGGAGGGCTCCACCGCCAAGGCCGCGCAGCTAGCAGCCGAGCCGAAGCGCGCGAGCTGGCGCCTCACCCTGGACTCCTCCAAGGGCTCTAAGGCATCTGGCGCCGCCTCCAGGAGCGACGAGGGAGCCCCCCCCGCGGCCGAGCACCGCCTCCAGAAGCCGCCGATGAAGCCAGGTCAGTCACCGAGAGCACCAGTCGACGCGGCAATCGAAGTCGACGAGGACGAGCAGGCAGCCAAGGGCGACATGCGCAGGACGCGCAGGGGCGGCCGTAGGGCGAGGAGGGGCGCCCACAGCGACAAGGCCTGGAGCAGCAAGGACAAGAACCTGATGGCCTCGCTACGCACCACGCTCAAGCTGCTGCTCCAGACCACGCACAGGACGCGCCTCAACAACAACATCAACATCGTCACGTGCACGATGACGACTAAGCACCCACTCGTGGACGGGATCTCCGCCGAGCTGGAGGGCTACAAGAGCATGCTTGACAATCTCCGCAGCGGAGACGCGGAGGACATGCAGAAGCTCAGGGAGATAGGGCCCCCCAGCTCCAGCATTGGGGCTCGCCGCGCTGGAGAGTGTCCTGAAGTGCGACGTGGGCAGAGCACCCAAGCAGGAAATCAGCGCCTACCTGGAGCAGGCCCAGCCGTCCGACGAGATGGCCGAAGTCGAAGTCACGAAGTACGAACTGCAGCAGCAGATCAGCTTCATACGGCTCTAGCGATGCTTCGACGCGGACAAGACCAAGCTGATCGTGGGGGGCCCAAAGTGGCCAGGCCGCAAGCTAATCATGAAGGCGCTGGCCGCCGAGGGCGCGGCGCAGCACCACCGCGGGGTGGCGCCAGCGTGATGGCTCGAGGAAGAGGTGGCGCACTGGCTGGAAACACTCCAGTAATAGTTTTTGTTACGGGACCCCGCTCCCTGCCAGCCGCCACGGTGTATTGGTACAACACCAGCGCCCGCCCTCAGAAGACTCAGAGCAGGAGCATGCCACAGGGAGCGCGCCGCCAGTCTCAGAAGACTCAGAGCAGGAGTGTGCCGACGGGCGCGCGCCGCCAATCTCAGCAGCTTCTGCCTTCGCTTCTAGGCCAGACCCCCCAGCAGCTGCCGACTCGGGGTCGGCAGGACGTGCGCAGCCAGTCTCAGAAGACTCAGAGCTGGAGCATGCCGCAGGGCGTGCGCCGCCAGTCTCAGCTTCTTCTGTCTTCTTGTCTGGGCCAGCAGACTCGGGGTCGGCAGGGCTGGCGCAGCCAGACTCTGCCGACTCGAGATCGCCCCATCTCGAAGGGCCCGAAGGCCGACGCGATCAGCTCGATACAGCCGCAGAAGACGAGGTCGCAGCTTTTTTGTTTGACGAATTCATGCCTCCCCGAAGCGTCTCGTGGCAGCGCGACGCAGCCCCCCTTTGTCAGCACCCGCGAGACGTGGCCCCAAGAACGGGGACTAACGCGATATTCGGCTCTCTGCGGCGGGCCATAATTTCTTTTTAACGCTGTGCAGGCTTGTTTGGTCCTGATGCCGAGTTAAAAAATCAGCATCACCATCATCATCATCATCATCATCATCATCATCATCATCATCATCATCATCATCGTCATCGTCATCATCATCAGCATCATCATCATCCAGTGGTGCCGATGATCCCTGCCTTCGGCGAGGCTCCAAGGCGGGTGCGTGTACTGATGCCCGCCCCGTGGGTTTAGTCGCCCCCTGCGGTCGCCTCTGGAGTCTCCGGGCCGCCGCAGGGCCCCTGCCTTTGCCTTCGGGGTTATCTCCTGCCAGCACATGTTCGGCGCGGGGCTCCGATCGTCGTCGTCGTCGTCGTCGTCGTCGCCTCCTCTCCGTGGAGCTGTCGGAGCTCCGCGCGGCGCTCCGGGAGTTTGTGTTTCTGCGGCTTGTGCTTCTGCGGATTCGGCTTCCTGTCGGAAAAAACCCCATGCTGCCACGCGCCAGCTTGTTCGTGTGCCGCGTGGACTTCGGACCTTTGAAGAAGATGACGCCAGATGTTCAACAGAAGTGTCCTCCTCCCTCCTCCCTCCTTTCCTTTTCCCACCGACCTCATAATTTCCACCTCCCACCACATCATTGTCCCTGGCCTCCTCCTCCCCGTCCTTCTCTTCTTCCCTTTTCTCGTCCTGCTTATTGCCGCCCTGTTGCCGCGCTCCAATCGTTTCTTCTCTCTCGTTCTCTCTTTTTTTCTCGCTTCTGCTTCAACTTGTCTCCTCATGCATTCTGCCTCTTCGCCGTCTTCGCTGTTTACCACCTGCTCACTCCTCCCTCTTCGTGTTGGCGGCTGCAGCTGTTTTCTCTCTGTCTCTCTCTTGCCAGGACCTCGTGCCCTCTCGGTGCGCGCGCCAGGCCACCCCAGAATACAAGAACCCTCCTCCCTTCTCTTTCAATTTCCCCCCGCCTCACTGGTCATCCCTCCCTCCTTCTCCTCTTCATCATCCTCGTCCTCCTCCTCCTGCTCCCCTTCTCTCCCTCTTATATCTTCCTGTCTCCTTCCCTCCACACTCCTTCCTCACTCCTTCCTCCTCTTCTCCCCTCTTTCTCACCGTCTTCTCACAAGTTTTCGTGCTGCCTGTCGTCATTGCTCTCTGTTTTGTGTGCTCCTCCTGCCGGGCATTGTGCCTCCTCTGTCCACGGTGCGCCCTCCTGTTAGGACTCGGTGCCCCTGGTGGTGCCAGAGATCAACGGAGGAAAGAACTCCGAGGCTCCCTTGGTGGCCAACCCGAACTGCACCACGGCGGTCGGCGCCATGGTGCGAATGGGGAGGGACTGATTGGCAGAATGAGGGAGGACTCTCCCTCCTCCTCCTCCTCCTCCTCCTCCTCCTCCTCCTCCTCCTCCTCCTACTCCTTCTCCGCCTCCCCTATCCTCCCTCATCCCTCCACCCTCACTCCTCCCTCCTTCCTCCTCCCTCCTCCCTCCACCCTCCCTCCTCCCTCCACCCTCCTCCCTCCTCCCTGTTCTCCTCCTCTTCTTCTTCTTCTTATTATTTTGCTTCTTCTTCTTCTTCTTGCTCCTCCTCCTCCTCCCCTCCTCCTCTCCCCTCCTCATCCTCATCCTCCTCCCTCCTCCCTCTCCTCCTGCGTCTCCACCCATCTCCACCGAGCATGTGCCGTGAGGGGGGGGGGGGGGGGACGGGCGGGAACGGGAGCAGCAGGAGGAGGCTGGCAAGTGGGTAATTGCAGCAGTCAGTTGCAGAGCAGCGACTTCACCTTGTGTGCAATCTTGGGTCAGCTGCTCCAGTGTTTGGCGGCGAATGCCGCCACCGTGCCCGAACAGCAGTCCGTTTAGCGGCAACATGTGAGCTCTGGTCCTCGGTCTCCAGAGGCCCATAGCATGTGGCACCGTCTCCCGCGGGCTACAGAAGACCGTGATCTGTGATGGCTGTCTCTTGCAAGCCCCAGAGGGCACAAGATGTGACGCCTCTCTTCTCGAAGTCCCAGATGGGGGTCGCAACGTGTGACAGCCGTGTTCCACGCGGCTCAGGGGGCCGTGCTGCATCACACCAGGGTCGGGGGGGGGCGCCCAAGAGCTTGCCAGAGGGCTCTATTCGTCGTGAGGTCCTTCGTGGGAGCCTCAGCCAGTCCCAGCATTCCTTGCGGCTTGGTCCGCCAACCCATCTTGGCTCGAGCCCTCCTGGCGCAAGGCCCGTCTCCGCTGGACCCACTCGCTTGCGCGGCAGACCGTTCGTCCGTGGGCCGCACGCGGCTCTGCCCCCTGTGCGCGCATGTCCAAGGCCGCGACGAAGACGAGCACGGCGGCGAGGGTGACCGTCTTGACCAGCCTCCCGGTCTCCCTCGCGTGGCGCTCCGCCGGCTTCCGCTGGGCGCAGGACGACATGCCGGCAGAGTTCTCCCGCATCGCGCCGTTGCTGCTTGGCTCGCTGCTGCTCTGCGTTGTGCTTCTCTTCCTCCTCCTCGCGGTGCACGGCCGCGCGGAGGCCCGCAAGGTATGCAACAGGAGGTATGCCAGCGCCGCCCTTCCGGGAGTCTTTTTCGCGTTGACCTTCGTGCTTGAAAACTTCGCGCTCGCGAACGGCCTCAGCGCGACCCTGGTGGTTCTGCTCAACAAGTGCGCGATTCTGCCGGGCGTCCTCGGGGAGATCTGGTTGACGCGGACCACGCCGTACCGCACGCAGCTCCTCACCATGGCGGCTTTGCTCTTGTGCATCATCGTCTACTCTCTCGGTGACGAGGGCGAAATTAACATGTCGCTGGTCGGGTTGCTCTTGGGCCTTGGTGCAGCCCTCTCAGATGGAGTCGGCGACATCGCCTTTGAGGCCACGGCGAAGTCCTGCCTCGACGACCTGGAGGAGGATTCGGGTGCCGAGACGCTCAGGTGCTTCCTCGTGAACGAGCTGTACAAGTCCGTGTTCAACATCATCTTGATGCTCGTGTTCGAGCACAAGTATTTGTCGCGAGGTCTTTTCCATGGCTGGGGCCTCCCCATGCTCGTCGGCGGTGTCATGTCGCTCCCCGTGATGGTCGCGCTTTACAACACGGCCATCTTGACGGCCGGCAACTTGAAGACCAGGATCGCTGCGTCCGCCGATATCGGCATCGCCTATGTGATGGATGCGATTATCTTCGGTGACACGGTCAGGACCTCCCAGTGCCTGTTGATCCTCGCCATCATCGCCCTGATCGGCGTCTACACCCAGTTCGCCGTCGACGTGCAGAAGGCCGCCGCAGACGCCCCCATCAGGTCGGAGAAGCCAGACGCAGATATTGTGTATGTAGTGTAAAAAGTTGTTCGCGGCCCCTCATCGGGGGAGCTCTGCGTCTCGGCCAAGGCTGGCGACCGCAGTAGTAGCAGTAGTCGTGCTGCCTACGGGCGATGGAACTCTTGGCGGTAATTTCGGACGAGCAAGGGGTCATGATAATGATACTTTCCCAGATTTTCAGGATGTCCACTTGTTCTTGATGTTTCTCGGGGCTGCAGAATCGAGGACCACTAGGTTCGCTAGAAATCCTGGAACGCATCCTGAACCAATCCTATGATGACATCGTCCTCGCCTTATTATTGGACTACCACCGCGGCTAGGGTTGTTGGACGACCACCGCGGCTAGTCTTGACGCCATTGTTACTACGATGGCAGTCGGCACTACAACTGAGCAAGTGCACGCATCGGGCCGCAGCGATACCAACCGTGGCCAAATGCTTTACCGACATGCATACAAATCAGCGATGCCAATCTGACGCTTCGAAGCTGCGGCCAACCTGCTACTATTGCACACGTATTTTCCGACGATGTCGTCCGTGGGGTGACTTGTCTCTTACGTGGAAGGAAGGTTCTCGATCCGCGCGCGCGTTGTTTTTCTTGCCCTCCTGGTTGCAAATGCTAGGGATGGTGCAGACATCGCCTGCGGTTCCTGTTTCGTCGGTCTAGTTTCAGAGAGCGTCTGCTGAGCTGGCCTGAGCTCGCCTGCGCTGTCTGGGATCTGTGCCCAGCGTTTTTTGCTGCCAACATCGTTAATTATAATTTATGGTCCCCCATATCCTGAGAATCGGGTTCTTGCTATTACTTCGGCCGCGCCGACTCCTCACCTTCACCTCCCTCCCCCTCTTCCGCATCAGACAAGTGTATTGCCCCCGTCTCCATTCTTCACGATGCCTGTCATAGCGCTCTTCTCGAATGATGCTGCCTGATCGTGCCTATCGACTGCTGCTCTGCGCGCCCAGCGACCGTCATTGAGCCTCGGGGCTCTCCTGAGACAGGCGCCGTGGGCTCATTTTCTGGCCGTCAGCTGGCTTGCGGTTGTTTCCCTGAAGTGCACGCCCAGCGCGTTGCATCCACGTCATGTCGGTGATTGCTGCCGAGTATTTGCCCGAACCTCTCCCCTTTCTCGCTTGTCTTTCGCCTCCTGCGTTCTCAGCGCTCCGTCATTCCTCGTTCCTCCTGCACGTGCTCCGCCATCCGGCGTGACAGCGCGCGCATTCCGTTTCAAGTCAGACTTCGAGCAGCGCGCGCATTGACGTGGAGCGCTAACTTCGTCCTTAAACAGGGCTTGAGAGTCATGGAGGCTGAAAAGCATGCCTTGCGGTTTGGGGGGCTTTCGTCCGCAGTTCGTCGGGCTCCGTCGACATTCGGACGAAATCTGGACGAAAAGGTGAAGAGGCGGTCGAAATCTGGACGAGATCTGGTCGACATCGCGTTTATGATAGGGCTGCAGAGGTTCGCAGAGGCTATAGACGTCCACGTCTGGAGCTCCGCGCAGATTTCTTGGATCTGCGCTGGCCCCCCCCCCATCTTGGCGCGCGGAGCGCGCGGAGGGGCCCCAGCGCCGATCCAGGATGTTCCGCGCGGAACTCCGGACGTTTATGCTTATGCAGTTTGTTCGAACGGGCGCGCTGGTGCCACACTTCTCACTCAAAGGGGGGCCCCAGCTTGAAGCTATCCCCGCGCCCCTCCAGTGGAAAAGGGGGCTCTTTGGAAGGGGGGGGGGTGGTTTCCAGAGCGTGAAAGGGGGGGGGTAGCTTCCGAGGGGCGGAAAGAAAGGAGGGGGGGAGGGGGGGCTTCCGGCAGGGGAGGTCCAGGGGGGGGGGGAGCTAGGCCCCCCCCCCTTTTGGAAAGGGAGGGGGGGGGGGGTGCTTCCGAAAAGGGGGGCCGATCCCGGCCAACAAGGTTTAATCCCGGCCCATTTGGGTCCAATCCCGGCCCCCTACACCAAATCCCGGCCGAGTGCAGAGCTCTCAGGAGCTCTCAAGCGGTCTCGAGAGTGCTCTGAATAAGTCTTAAGAGCGCTCTCAAGAGCGCTCTTAAGAGGTCTGAATGAAGAGCGTTCTGAAGAGGTTTTAAGAGCGCTCTGAAGAGCCTCTGCAAGAGCGATCTGAAGAGCCTCTGAAGAGCTCCTGAAGAGCTTCTGAAGAGCTTCCGACGAGCTTCTGAGGAGCTTCTGGAGAGCGTCTGATGAGCCCAAGAGCTTGCCAGAGGGCTCTATTCGTTGTGAGGTCCTTCGTGGGAGCCTCAGCCAGTCCCAGCATTCCTTGCGGCTTGGTCCGCCAACCCTTCTTGGCTCGAGCCCTCCTGGCGCAAGGCCCGTCTCCGCTGGACCCATTCGCTTGCGCGGCAGACCGTTCGTTCGTGCATGCGCCAAGCTGCTGCGTGCGATTTTGGATTGCCAGTACGTGGCGTGCCCCACAGCGCCCGACAAGGTCTGGAAGGTCACCGTCGGCGCTGGCATGGGACTCCCTTGTAGTGGGGAGGTTGCTGACGCAGCGTATTTCAATCAAGTTGAGCGCGACAGCGTGTCTCAAGATCGTTTCTGTGAGTAGCACGGCATAGTAGCTTATATTAGGTATCGCGACGACATTATGCTGGTGCATTCGGGGTCCAGAGCACAGCTGGATGCCCTTATTGCCAGATTGCAAGAGCTGTCAACGGTGTTTAAGCTAGAAGCTGAGAGTATCGCCTCCGATGAGATTCAGATGCTCGACGTCGTGTTTTACCGTGGGCCCCGCTGGCGCTCCGCGGGCATCATGGATCACCGCATCCATATCAAGCGGTCGTCTTTGTGGATCCCCCTCAGCGATCGCAGCATGCATCCCGCCGGCGCGCACCGAGCGTGGCCGCTCGCACACGCGCTCCGCGTGCGCCGTTTGTGTTCGGAGCGGCAGCGCGCCGACAGTGAGATCAAACAGTTTTGTAACATTTTGCGTCAGCATTCCTCACACATCGCACTATTACCACGAATCTTGGGGGTGCGGTCCCCCATTTTTCGCCTCCCTGGCTCGACTGTCCATGAGCAACAG